AGGAACTAAAAATTAGAACGTAAACAATTAACATGGACACAGGGGCACCGAGAAGAGGAAGAGTATCTTTTTAAAACAGAAATACGATGAAACGACGGAGATGTGTGTTTTCAGGTATTGAGTGGTTTGCTAGTAGTTAAAATTTGGTTTGAGTATTTCCTACCGTCGCAGATATTCATTTAGTGTAGCAACTACCCATTGAGTATTTGTTACCGTAGCAATTACCCATTAATGGCAGCAAATACCCACCAGTGGGTAAGTAGCAAATACTCAGTGGGTAGTTGCTACAGTAGCAAATACCCATTAATGGTAGCAAATACGCACTAGTGGGTATTTGCTACTGTTGCAAATACTCAGTGGGTATAGTAGTTGCTCGGGTCGCAAATAACCAATCAATGCAGCAAATACCCGGTTGAATCGGACTTACCTCCACTGTCTCCACTTCTCCATCACTGCCACTGCCAATATAAGTGTCACTTTCACTATCAAAGTCACTGTTGCTGTCACTGTCATTGTCACTGTATTTGTCTCAATGACTTTTGCTGTTACTCCCACTGTCATTGCTAAACTCAATGTCACTCTCACTTTCATTGTCCAGTCACTGCTAATGTCTCCCTCCATGTCTCTATACTGTCACTCTAACTATCACTTTCAATGTAACTGTCATTGCTAAACTCAATGTCACTGTCACTGGCATTGTCTCTATCAGTATTGCAGTCACTTTCAATGCCACTCTCACTGTTACTCTTTCTTATTTTCTTATTTCACCTGTCATGATGTGTGAATGGTGTCATTGAATTTCATGTAAATGACAAAAAGGCATATGCGAAGCGTATAAAGCAATGTATTTGGTCATTTTGAGTTGTTTGTTCCAGTAAGGCATTCCTTCGTTTACATATAGCTGTTTTGAAGCTGCGTGGAGGAGACCTTGGAAGACAAATCTGCAATTTTCATAATGCAAAGTAAGAGGTCGGAGGATGCTGCTGTTGTTGAAGGTACTATTCTAACTTTTTCGTCTCTCTCACTCTAACACGACTACGAAAAGATTTCCTTGTATTTTTCCTTCTTGGGAAGAGGAAAGATTCAGAAAACCAATTACGTCATTCGAGTGCGAGAAGTTTGAGGAAAGTTGAGTGTCGGGCATAAGTCATCGAAAATGGAAGAACAAAGATGATAATCTGTCAGTTGTAAATAGTACTAATAGTATTCAGATTTTTTCAAAGAAAAAAAATAAGAAACTTTGTCGTTGTAAACTTTAAAACTATTTGCGTTTATACGGCTTCTTGAATAGTACTACTGACCTGTGGTCTATTCATTTACTTTAGAAACCTTTAATTCCGAGTTCAGATCTACAATACATAATGGCATCCAAGAATTTTCACCGATTACTGAGCGAAAAAAGGAACGAGGTGACACCAAAGCAAAAATATTACCGCAAACAGGCTAAAAATATTGCCGCAAACAGGCTCTAACATTTAACAATCGCAATGCAGCCACCCTACTGCAATATTGAGCACTTAGGCTTAATGAGGGTCAGTAATTATTTGTTTATAACTCCAAACTATTCTAAAACGAAGCTGTAGTCTAACATGCAATCTACTGTTTTCGTCGTTTTCTTTATCAAAGAGCTGATGCTGAATGAAAATCTCGCCAAAATCTGCATTCACTGCACCCTGACGGGTGAAAGCAGCGAAAGTGAAAGACAAAAATCCGAAAGTACGGAGATTCAACCGCCGTCAAGCTATTCCACCTGCGATTCACTGATATTCTCCATTTACTGACTTGGCGTGGAAAATTGATTGACTAATTAGAAGATGCACACTATGCACGGTAATGTAATGTTGAGTAGGGACTTTAAGCAAACCACGACGGCTACGGCAACGAGATCGTGGAAAAACAATAGATCTAATCGGCAGAACAATAGCCTAGCACGTGCGTTTTGAAACTTTGTACATTTTGTAGCCGTCCATTGCAAAACAACAACGTGAAATCACCAAAATTTGCGTCGTCTGCGAAGCGAAACCGCGGCGACAAATTATTTTAATTTACATTTGGAACTCAACGCTACTTTTATGCGTTATGTTGAGTTTGAGGTCTGGCGCCCTATGAGACGGTAAACACATGCAGCCATTTTCGAAATTCTAACTAAAAGTAGAAACTCATTTTTTAATCGACGTCTTCCGTGGCGTTGCTGTCCTGACTGCTTAAAGTCCCTAATAATGACTACGACTACGTCATGGGATCACTCCATGATATTCACTTCGCTTTCGGCAAGCAGTATTTCACCAATTTGTTTAATAGGGATAACGAATTCTCTAAATTTGGAAAAGACAAGAAATTTCAGGTAATCTCAGCAGTTATGAACTCATTCATTTTGTCATCTTGAACTCTTTATCATGATGTGGATGCTATTCCTGTACATTAATGAGTATAGTTGATAGTTTCCTGACAAGGATATCGTTTCCCCTTGTAGTACAAGTTCAAGTTAGTTTTCAAGTAAAGTTTGTTTATTTAATATTTATTCATTTTCAACTTTTTCTAACATTTCAAAACTTACGGGTGTGGCAGGAATGCCTTGCTTCTTTATATGCAACCTTTTAATATCCAAGACATTTGAAAGACCAAGCCAACCATCAGCACGAAACCTGTCCATGTACATATCTTTACTTGATCTTTCTGACGTTTTCCGGGAGTATCGCGTTAAATATTTTTCGGAAGTTGTATTATGTACTGTGTTTTGATTATCGTTTTGCAAAGTTCTGCATTTTGTCACAACCTGCATTTTAATGTAGTTCTATGGGTTTATATCAGTGATCAGTTTAAAGGAATAGCTGCGAAGTTCTTAATTTCTGTACACGGTTTAGGTAAATAATTTCGTTTCTGCTTATCACCCATACGTATGTAATGTTTTGTTTCGCCATGTCATTATTTTTAATTATATCTAGCAATTTGCGTTAATAACCTCAATAAACGGATTGAACACAAGCAGGCGTGACTTCGGATATACCAACTCCATGATTGAAATAAAACCAGCTTCCCTTTTACCCGGACGAATCTCAGTGATTACGATAGATCAGTTGAACTTGAGAAACTCAAATTTAAACCAAACAGTACCTAATCCTTTTAACTCTGATTTATTCTGATGATTTCCGCGGTCTAGATAAGTTAGAATTTGCCTGACACACGTAGGGGGTAGTCTTTCGTGGGAAACAACAGGTTACTTATTGATACTCGACCAGGCAACTGAACTCAGACAGGTCAATGCAAAGCGCTTTTTTTCTTATCACACCCAGAGTAAACGTCATCTGTTGCCATAAACATGCTGGCCAGTCTGTCATGTTGAGTCATAAAGCTAAAGAGTTATAATAGTAGCAGTTTTCATGAGAGGCGTCTGAGTAAGATGCTTTTGCAATCACGTACATTCGAACTATTTGCTAACTACTCTGGAAAGAAATCACTCATCGCTGATAGAGTAAGGAGACAACTTTGCTTATACCTACAATGTACCATTCCACCAAAGAGGCTATGACTGTTGGTTAAGTAGGTCACGGTTACTCAAGACTTGATGTTACAGTATACCCCAAAGACAACAAGTTTAAACTAGAGTGTTCTTTGCAAGCATTAATCTTCACATTCCATGAAAATTTTAAAATTCTAATAAACAAATTGTTGCCTAACGATTTCAACGCGTCTAATTATCGAGAAAAAAATATATCTTTCTACATTCTATCTGTAAACTGCAGCCCAATATTATTTTTTCATGTCACTTTCATTTGGACATCAGGAAAAAATAAGGGCAGCATAAGTAAACGGATATATGTATTTCAGGATGTGAAAAACTCACACTTTACATCTCCGAGTTGCATTAAGATTGATGAATTTTCTGATTTCATTAAAACTTAGTTCCTTCCGTTGCCTTTGCCGCCTTTTTCATCAATTTTCAAGTCCTTCAAGTTGTTCCCGGCACATCTTTATCGTCTTAACGCTGATTGGTACAGTTATATCACCCTAAACTCAACTTGCTTTCCACACAAGTTTGAGAAAAGTAATTACTTATTCACTGTCGGTTGTTTTCTGGTAAGAACAGCTTTGAAAATTATGATATTCTCAAAGGAAACATTTTTTTCATTTAGAAACAACTCGGGACTAAAATCGCCTACCTATAACCTATATTCAGCTAAAATCGCCTACCTATAACAAACTTGCAAATGCAGCAAAGAGAATTGTAGTTGACTTCATCGCCTTAAATGTGGGTAACATTTAGGGTTGGAATACAGTTGTAACACAGTTGTTGGAGAGTGATAAGAAATTTTCAAGTGAGCACTAAGAATGGACTAACCCCAAATTTAGAAGACAACTAAAATCTGTGTGGTAACAGATTTCTGGCGGAGAGACCCGGGAAGATCATTGGTACAAGATAAAAACTTTGAAAATCATAAGGACCTGGTTATTATGATTAATTGGGGTAGTCAGGCCATCATTAAAACATGAAAATCGCGTGAAATGGATCGTTAATGGGCTCAAACTTTCAACAAATGTTTAGGTTAAACCTCTTTGAATCAAGTTGGGATAACTGTGAAGAATGATATATGAAATTGTTTCACACGCTGGGAAGAGTTTAATGGAGAGAAAAGAGGCTTTTCTTCCTGCTCTAAACATAGGAGGCTTTTGGGAGCCTAGAGATAGGACTCTTTAATAGAGAAATTACTATTTGTAACAGAATTGCTCGAAGTGTTCAAATATGGCGGTTCTCAACAGCAAGATAGATTTAAAAACCTTACCAAGTGAAAACTGTAGGAGCTAAGGTAAAGCTGGATAAACGATGGTATGGAGCTGAGGTAAAGCTCAACCAATAATAATATTCATTCCATAAATTATTAATCAAATAGTGTTGAAGATAAAATGAATGAGAGCTTTTTCCTTGCGGATTGGCTTTTTTTTTCTTGTTTCGAGTTGGTAGGAGTTTTTTGGTGAGAGCTAATTTTTCGCGAATCTCCGCTCAAACTTCTCTACCATGTAGTCAAGCTAAATAGCAGGGAGCTCTACAGCAAACGATTTGACCCTTGATTTCCATGCGAAGATTCTGATTCACTCGATGTAGGAATCATAAATCGTAAGGTATCTCATGATTTCGTGTTTTTTTCTTTGCTGTTACACATTATATATTTGGCGGATCAAGGACTGTCCGAAGAATCTGCAAAACTTAAAACTCGAAAAATTCTGCAGCTACACAGTAGGAGTATACACGAATTTATAAACCTAACTGTACGTAGACAAAGAAGCTTTGTCTGTAGAACCAGTTATATTAATAATTCCTCGAATATTTTGCTCGCGTGCGATCAGTCTAAATGTATCACGTGATCAAATATGCGATAAAAGCGTGCGTTTAAAACGTGATTCAAGATAACAGAGCATTTAGCTATTGCTACAGAACAAGAGACATGTTTGATTGTTCGTAAAATCGTAATAGAGAACACTTAAAAGTAACAATCTCGGGGGAAGATCATTATCTCACTTGTTTGTTGCGCTCACTCGTGAGATAATGTTCTTGCCACTAGAATCTTTTCGTCACCGTGTAATATCCTCTATGTATGCTTTTCTTTCCTTTGGAATATTAATCAGTTCAAGCGTGATATGACATCCTGTTTGCGTGGATGCTTGACTTAAATATTATCATTTAGCAAGACTTGTGCTTTATTTATTCGCAGGATATGTTTGTTTCCTTACTTTACATTACATTACTTTACTTTACAAGGATTTTTTCAAGTTACTCTGCGTTCTTAGAATAGGCATCTGAGGCAATCTACTGGCTGTTCATGTAAGGAGCCACGAAGTGAAACCGATCAGGTGGGATGACTATCTGGTTCAAAACTGACGTTTATGTGTCCTTTTTCCTGTATAGGTGACAGATTACTCATATCAATGTCGCATCTATGTCTAGCTTGTTCTTCTTTATTAACACAGTTACCTGTCTCATTCATCAAGTTAAAACTTCCGTTTTTGATGGTTAATGCCTCGAGATTTTTCTTTTCTAAAGAACTAAACAATTCACCTCCAAAGCTAACTCGTCGTTTCTCTGGATTACGTCCTGAAAACCCCCGACTTTGAGAGCAAGTGGGAAATTTTGACAATTCGAAGATGGCTTCCTGTTCAATACTTGTAAACGATAAACACTTGACTTCAGCCATAGTCTTTTCCGTGCCCACTCTGCCAAAACTGACCACTTGATTATCTGAGACTGAGATTGAGTTTCTGTGGACTCGGTCCAGTGTGATGCTTTCCGATTGTCTTCGTTGTGTTTGTTTGCTAACAATACTTGCATTCCGCCGCCGGTCTTCAAGTTCATAATTACAGTTGCATCGCAAAGCGTTTTTAAATGCCTTTCTAAATTTTGTGTTAAGCACGGCATAAACCACTGGGTTTGCGACGCTGTTTAGCAGCCCCAAAAAATTTCCGACAAAAACAAACAAGTCTGGCGCAACATAACCCGGTCTTGGAGGAAAAATGTTCAAAAGTTTGTTGATCATGTAAGGCAGCCAACACAAAGCAAATAACGCCACCACCAAAAATAGCATTTTAATTATTTTACGTTTGTTCAGCAAATCTTTTGCTTTACTTTGGGATGTTTGTTCGCCGGGTTGCTGACGTGTGTATAAACGGTGTCCAATTAAAAAATAGAGAACTGATATCTGTAGAAGAAAAAGAAAGTAACATGATATCCGGTACATTTGGTATAGATGCAAAGCTTTGGAACTGCTCCAGGATTCCTCGCATTTGGCTACTTTTTTTCCTTTTGAAACGACGTCATGATGGAACAATGAAGGAAGGAGAAGAAACGGCGACACAAACCAAATGACACCAACAATCTTTTTGGCTCGGGGAGGGGTGATGAATCGCTTCATCGGGAAAAAAACTGACAAGAAGCGGTCATATGATATGGCTAACAAACTTAATGCCGACGCCATTACTGACATATGCACCAAAAACGACAAAATCCTACAGCCTGTCTTTCCGTAAGGCCACGCTGGCCAGGTTAAAACATTGTACACAAAAAACAACGGCATGCAAGTAGAAGTGACTATGACATCTGCACCAGCCAGCGATGCTATGAAAATGTTAGTTGTTGAACGCATGCCTCGATTGATGATTATCGATACTATGACCAGAGAGTTTCCCAGTGTTCCGAAGAAAATCGCCAATATGTTTGCGATAGACAATCCCACGACGGCGCTTAAACTGGCACTACTATTGGTGTCTGAATGTTTATATCCAGTAAAATTGGCGGTTAAATTTGTCTCAAGTGGAGTGCTGTTCAGAAAGTAATTCATTTTCCCGTATCCTTGTCAAACTGAGCAAGATCACGCAATTAGCCGTTTGCTGGTTGTTTTAAGTGTTTCCCTAGGAGCTGTAGTTGCGACCCACCAAAATACAGGACTATTTCTGCTGGAACCACAGAAGTTGAGGTGACTCCAGTTGAATCACCGAGTGTCTACGAGGAAATAAGACAACTGTGTTAAAAGATAACAATTGAAGTTTTTCGCAAACGATCATTAAGGTTGAAAGGCAGCGAGACAAAAGCAGACCAGTGATTTCTACCTCCCATGGGAAGTATTTTTATCAGACAATCAGGCGCCATGGACATTAAAGAGCAATCTTGTACACCAAAAACATCCTGAATTACAGTCATATGTTAAAATGCAATTATGCGAGGTCTACTGTTACATCACACTTCTCGAGGTTAAGCCGCAAAAAGAACTGACAAAAAAGGAAAGTTTTAAATACGCTTTTAACCGTCCTGAACTACGTAAATGAGCTATAAATGGAAAGATGAGAGTTTCGAAAAATTAAATATTCAGAGTTGTTTTGGTTGAACTGTCAGTAGAGGGCGACATTATCAACAGTTTATTTACCATTCTACAGCAAATACAATATTCTGAGGACGTAATAGATCGGTTCTTGCTGTCACCTGCATGTACTCTAACCTAGTTATCTCGAAAAGGAAAACAATCAGTCCTTGTTGATGGCCTTAGAAAATAGCGCTTGCAGCATGATAAACACAGCATATTTTGTTGTACCTTTCTATTCCTTATAGCAAGAGAAGTTGTAAATGAAACGACCAGATCTTCAAGCTTAACAGGTTTGCTTCGAGTTGCACTCAGATGAGCCCTGAAATGAAGGAAGTAGGCTTAATCATATAAGAGCCAATAAGAGCCTTGATTATCTTTACTTTGGAAGGTCATCAGCCTCAAACGTTCAACTAATCACGTTCGGTTTTTTAGTTTTAGTATGCAACTTCAGACTGATTTAAAGAGCCAGTTGTAAAGGCCCCAACAACTAGATCAGTACATCTGCTCGGTATAAGTTTGTAAATGATATAGCCAGTAATTTTGTCGTAGCCTGCACTATGCAGAGTATCGTTAAAGGCGAGTCCCGTTACTGGCGAGAAATTTGAAGGATGAATGAGTTTATTTATCTTGACTTACCAAAACCTACGCTCTACAATTCTACGTAATTAAGGGATTTTCTAATTTTCGGGGATTTACTGTCGAATGAATAAAAGACGCCGGCCAAGGATTGTTCTCCAAGAAATCGAATAAATGATTAATTCTGGCTAGGAAGTATACTAAACGTCAACAGGAAAACAATTTCCTGACATCCTTTGTCACAAATTCTAGTCTACTGTATTAAAAATCACAATGAAAAACCGAAAAGAAGTCCAAATTTAAAACTGAGGTCGGACTTCAGTCTTTGATCTTTTCAGCAGTAATGAAATGCAACTCCACCGAAAAAATAATCTTGGCATCTGGGAAACTAAAAGGTTTTAATACCACTTGACGTATGAGACCACTGACAGATAGGCAATATTATTGTTTCATGGTGCTTCAATGGAAATTCGCATTGTTTTAAAGCTTAAAAACCCACTGGTAAGATTGAAGTAAAATCTTCCATTACGTGAATACAAAAGCAAATCTCTCGACCCTCTGACAAACAAGACGAAATCTATGTGGAACAAATCAAATTTCAGTAGTCGCGGGATAATAATTACACAAGGAGAAAAGAGACACGACTTTGAGAAGATATTCCTCGTAACCTTCATTTTTGATTACGCTTATTAAGGGGTTAAATATAGAATGCATATGAACGATAACAAAGTTACTGAAAAAAATATTCAGCCAAAGTTACACGCTGTAGATGAATAAAATTGAAATACCAATTTTGCTTTGTTCAGGGTGAGATTACCATAAAGATGAAAACGAAAAGTTTGTTTCCTGGTGATCATAAACAAGAGGTTAATCCTGAGAGCCTCTTCCCATTTCAATTAAACTTTTCTCATTCTGAATCTTAAAACAAGAAAATAAGCTAGTACCTGTGTCAGAGACCTTGTGCCTGGCGCCGGCCGCCACCAAATGCCTTAAAAGATTTTAGGTGAAGTGATGGCGTTCTTAATCAATAAACCAGAGTGCACGGAGATGCGTCTGGCTATTTTACTCTCTTTCTGCATAGATATATACGCCTCACTGAATGCTCAGCACGCTAGGATTTCCTTTCACAACTTTTTGAAAGGCAACCTGACAGGTGAAAACTGCGTTATGACGTCACTATCCGAACTCCGCCTGTGTGATGGACCACTGTACCGCCTTGTTGGCACGTATCAATTATTTTCCACTCGTGTCATAAAATATTATATAATTTCTTTCCAACGCTTAGTTCAAAATGTTGGTTGTTTACACATTTGTGCCTTAATATTACAACTGTGAGAGAGAAACACTTAACGAATTTGAATGCGCTGCCAATATGGTTCCATCTCCATGTTCAATAAAGCTGACAATTTTCTCTTAAAGCCGGATAAGCTGGGTGAAAAAGTGATCAATGCACCACGTGGTGAAATAGTGCCATATTGTTTGGATTGGAGTGAAATAATGGAGCTGTTTAACATGTTCGAAAATATAGTAATACAAGTAACAAAAGCCAGTTTAAGTGTCAGTTGTTGACTGTAAGTGCTAATTGCCAGATAGAAGCATCAAACGACAGCTATTTTAATGATGCTTTTAGCAAGCCCACTATCTCTGTATTGGAAGAAAGCTAGAAGCAAATATTTTGACATTGCAACACGGTCAACAAATCGTGTAAGATCTGCGGAAAGTCCTTACCCCAGAGAAAATAAGAACGAGTCTTCAGTAAAAAAAAAAAAAAATGGTTCGTATTTACTGATTAAGCGTCCTTGTAAGCAAGCGAAAAATGTTATGTGGAAGGAATGTTCGGCTTTCTTATCAGTACAATGATGAGTGGGCGATTCTCTATGTGATCAATGACCCGCCGACCGCGGTCGAGAAGTTCCAGAGTTCTAGTTAATGGTTAATAGGTAATATAACTACTTACCTCTTTACTTTAAACTTCCTTTTTACCATGCCAACAATATAAATCACTACAGCTGTAATTCAAAAGAAGCTCAAGACTGTATATAAAACCAGTCCGCTAAAAAATACATTTCTAGTCCTTGTGTGAAGTGTTTGTATTGTTAATATAATATTTCTTCATTAGACATTCAGGAAAAAGGGAAATTTTTACTTCTAATGGATTTTTCTGCCAAGTGAGAATTAAAGATTTCTTTGGCGGACCTTCCTGTTTACTATCACGTCTCCATCGTAAGTTAGAAGCACTTTTTGAATGTTAATTAGAAAAAAAAAACGAAATGGATCAGCTGGATTGAGAAATCGCTAACCCTTCAGTTGTTCAATCCAGATCACGTACAAATATCGGCATAGACAACAAGCGCAACTGTTACGTCACATTGAACAAAAGAAAAGATTTATCAGAGAAATTTGAAATGTTAAGCACAGTAATAAGAATTGTGGAAAGTACTTTTCGTCATTCGTATTCAATACCCGATTCACCCCGCATCCACACTAAACAATGAAAGCTATTCTCTTTTTCTACTACATTTTTTTTTTTGAGGAATCAAGATTTCAATGAATTCTGACCTCAGTTAGAACAGTTTGTGTTTTGATCTACCCACGTGTTGACTTCATGATCGATTGAATCGACTTTGAAGTTTGAAGAACTCCTTCCCTGCAAGTGTAAAAGATTTCCGTCTCTAAAGATTTTTTTTTAACCTTGACGTAAACTCCTGTTTGTTTTTCCGCGACCCACAATAATCAAGATCAAGAAGAAGTGGTATACTTTTAGTAAGGGTTCTTAGCCACCCTAACTTTTCGTAAACATACGGTTTTTGTACTTACAAAGGACCAAGGGCTGGTAATTCAGGAAATAGTGTTATCAATGAAGGTTCTTGAACCAGTAAATTGAGAATAATAAATAATAATAATAATTGAGAATAATACTGAAAAGCCTCAATGCTTACACCCTTTACTCACATTCATTAATTTATAAATATTTGATAATCGATTATTACAATGCACATTGACAATTTACAACCAGCTAAACAGAATAAGAAAATAACATTGTCTTTGTTATAAGGATCATTCTATGATCTCTATGTTAGAGACAGTGTTTTGCACTGCTATGAAGTTTTAGGGCCATCTCCTGTATGAAATGAAAGGGTAAAAAAATACGTTAACGAATTTGATTTTCTAACATTACAACATTTGCTGCGGGGGAAGGGGGGGGGAGCAGTCCCACTGTCGATTTGCCAGAAAACTTGGCACTTTTACTTCATGGTTCAGGAAAAATAATTAAAAGCAGCAAATTGCGACAAATCTGTCGTATTCTAAATTCTCAAATTTTATTTCCTAAAACAAGAACAGAGTTTTGTTCAAATTAGCAGGCTCTCATTAGCACCGCAGTACGAGCGGCAAAGCCCGCGAGATACGAGCAGGCGAGCGAACAGAGCGTGCTAGAGGTCTGAGAGGGGTCCGGCGACAATATTTCCAAGCTACAACCCTCGCGGACCTACCTGGCGCGAACACTAAGGATGGGCCGATACGGCTTTTTCGAATCGATACGATACTTACCTTTTTCTTCGATATCGATATCGATACCGATACTGTGACGTCATTGAAATGAATAGTAAGTCACGTGATCTGATTTGGCTAAATGAAGAGACCCTCGCACGGATTTCAGTTCAGTTCTCTATAGTAGCATCAACAAGACACTCGAACAAGTCAATAATTTCTATTTATTGGGACTCATTTTTAAATTGCATGGGGAAACGAAGAAGACTGCAATGGACAAACTTTCTACTTACTATATTAAAGTAATCTGCAACTTTCGCTTGCATTCATGATCATAAGGCGTACAATGAAAGGTTATCAGTCACTGCACGGGTCACTAATAATAAACAAACACGGTTGCACGACTTATTATGGATCGTGCGCTTCAATACTCGATACATCAGAGACTCCCAGGCATACAGGACTATACAGGGTGCCATATATTAAAACTGTTTAACCTTCCTCAGTGCCTTTCTCGCTCGAGGTTTTTCTTTAGTGAGCAGGCATAGTAGTTTGCAGCTCATTTTTGTTAATCCAGATGTCCCTGTAATGCCTGAATTGTTGTGAGTTGTGATTTTGTTGCCGTTGTAGTGAGTGACTTTATATTTATAGAATCGGGTCCTATTTCACAGTGAAACGTTGTACTGGGGAGTGGAAGAAACCGCCACTTTGACCGGTAGACTGCAGCAATCCTACATTGCACACAAATGCGCACATGCACGATCTTGAGCCCGGAGTCTTTTCGGCTACTTGTCAGCGGTTAGTCGGGGGAGATTAAGTCGCGGGTATGTCACGTACAGTATCGTTAGAATCGATACTCTTCGCTGGTATCGATATTTTTCGATCCGACGTCGGTATCGCTGGTATCGAATATTTGGTATCGGTGTCGGTATCGGCCCATCCTTAGCTAACACCGCTCGCCTGCTGGGAACTCGCGGGTTTCGCCGCTCGTGTACCAGCGTCAACAAGAGCTAGCTTAGGGGATGGGGCGGCTGTACACAGGCTAGAGCTAGCTTAGGGGATGGGGCGGCTGTACACAGGCTAGAGCTAGCTCAATGTGAAAATAAGTATCATACTTCAGAGTATGTTCTACATTATCAGATAATCATGAGATAATCGCACACCCAGTCCCCGTTGAATGATTGTCCGCATACCCAGAGTAGAGGGGATAGTTTTGTGTGTGATATGGATAACATGAGAAGCAAATGGAACAAAAGGTTGAACATTGACTGGTTGGAAATTTAAATCGGATTTAAAAGGCGACAAATGACACATTAAGATTACGTAAGAGTTACTCAGTTTTCTCTTACCTTTGTAAGCGTATTCCAAGGCACTTGCTATTGCTGTCATGTCAGCCTCTATTACTCTTGACCAATTTTCCACGTCGCCAAGTTCCTTCGAGACAAATATATTGCGTTTGAAGGGAGCATGAAAATAGATGCTTACATGTATCAGCGAGACTACATGTATCAGTTTGAGGGATTCTTGTCATTAAAAGATTCTTGTCTTAAATTGCATCACTTTTATTAGTTTGAGTCATGGAAGAGTCGAGAAAACCTTTTGCTTCGTTTTGTGCATTCGTGGCATTGTAGTTTAAACTAGCTTTTTTTTAATTGTATAAGCATTTCAAAGTACCTATCGGCTCACTTCCTAAAGTACAGGAAATTATATCTATATCACATCCATTAAGATCTTGGTTAGGCCATATAAATACAATTAGTGCCAATGTAGGTTCACCTGCTACGGCAACATATACTTTTCTTTATGCAGTTAGCCCAGGGATTGGCTTACAAAAACTCTGCCCGGATAGGAGCCTTGGCTTTGAACATACAGAGAAGGAAGCTAGTTACCTTCAAAGCCTTATTGAAAGCCTCTAACATCTGAAGCCACTGTACTGTCTGTTTAGAAAATCTTACTGAGGAGAATAACAAAGTGCAAAATCTGACTTTAAAAAGGGAACATTTTGTCTCAGCCTACACTAAACATACATGTCAAGGGCTGCAAGTATGGATCAATCTTGGGTTAAACAACAGACAAGTTTCATAGTTTCATATAATTTTCATAGTGGAGGCTTCCTTAAGTCTATCACATTATGCAGCAGTCTTTCTTCTTCTGGAAAACATCAATGGAAGAAACTACAAAAACACAAACTTTACAGACTGGCCAACAAATTTAACATCAATAAACTCCACTTTAGGCTCACTTTGAATTTGAAATGTCTTGCATCTAGTTGTTAGACGCTTCTCAAGTTGCCTGTCTCAACATCACTATATCATTTTGATTTTATTTACCATCTCAAACAGCACAATGGCAAAACACATTCAAATTTACAACTCACAAAACATATAACACACCACAGACAGTATTTTTAGAGAAACCTTTAGGTACCTGCATGAGCCTGTAACTGTTTTGCTTCTGTTTCTAACTTGCGCTGATTGACATAAGCTTGCTCTACACTATGGGACGTAAAGCAGATTACTTCTGTATTATGTTGAACTCAATGTAGAATGTGGATCAAAATGCTAAAAATTACAGTGTATGCAATCCTTGTAAAACTGCTTCAAACTAGAAAGCTCCATGTCCCAACTGAGTGATATTTTTTACTACAATTACAGGAAAGATAGAGTAAGGAAATCAAACCTAGTATTTACATTTCAATTTCAAAATAGTCAGTCCACCTCATCAAAGATTTCAAACATAATTACAACTGGGTACGATGAATATATGAAGTTCATGTATTTTGAACTGCGGTTATAGATACGTGTAATGCATGATCCTCGCAGTAATTACAAATGATTTACGATTTCATGTAAGGAGAGGTAGAGACCTTGAAGTATGAAAATAAGTGAAGTGTGTTCAAAGTTTTAGTCAGGCCCATAATACAAAAACAATCTAAATTTTTGTCCTAAACAATTTTCCTTTGAAGTGACCCTTATAACCCCTTAAGCCATCATTTCTCCCAAAAGCAGAGCAAGGCCAACAGAAAATGTTTGGCAGCTAGACATCTGTATGTACCTAACCACTGAGGTCATTCAACATGCATGTATACCAATAAAGGTTATCAGGTAAGCAGTCACTGCACAAGACAACAATGTTTTGTCACTTACCCAGTATTAAGAGTGTCCATTAGTTTGTATGTTAGTCTTGAAGATGCTGCCACAGCTTCTCTTCTCAAGTGTTCTACATCAATAATAAAATGAAAATTGCTTATTATAAATAACAGGACAATACATCTTTGCTTCTTAAACTGAAAAGGTTAAAAAATGTACTCAGGGAGTAGGTAAAGATGCATGACAGCATCTAGTTGGTTATCAAAATAATGGGGACTAAGCAATATTAAAGACTTGAGAACATCCTACCATCCCCTGGATAAATCACATGTTCATTTCCTGGAGCCCAAAACAAGCTACTATTCAGAACATGAGAGAATAAAAATTTACACCATCCATAGTAATAATGTCTATCCTGCAGAGTTGAGATAATCTTGGTGCCCATGCTCTACATTAGTGAGAGATGAAAAGCAGCATGAAAGTAGAGGTCGCACTGAATGTTCTAGGCCTTCCTTTACTTAAAGAAATTGGCTAGGAAGAAAAAGAAGAAAGAAGGAGCAGGAAGGTGCATAATCAGGAGCCACAAAAATACGACGGGGTGTGGGTATTAAAAGTCACAACTTTCAATCTATTTAATGTGGCATGACAAAATGGTCACAAGGTTATTCACTCACTTATGGTTGCAATGCGTCCGGAAAATTAGATATATCAAAAAAATTTAGAATAAAAAGGTTAACGAAAACATATTTGTGTTTTCATTGCTTGGAAAATATATGTGGTCAGCTACTGTAGAACTCTTTCCAATGGTCCATCCAAGGTATAAATATTTGGCCTTTTCACACATCACAAAGAATATCCAAAACTATTTCACATTCATGTGAAATTTGAGACAATCACATTGATTTATTATTTTACTTTTACTAGTCTTGACTAGTCTTACACGATAAAGAATGACATAACGTCTCATATTGTTTGTCCAATTACCTTTCGTGTTGTGTTTCATGAATTTTATTGATCTACATGAAGTCCTTCTCCTGTCAAAACCCTGATTAAGACCTTACCACAACCCATGGTTCATACAACTTCAGACATGTACAATCAAAATTCAAGGACTTTTCAAGGTCAAAAAATGGTTTTCAAGGACTAAATTTTATTCATAAATCTAAACCATTTACGATTGCCAATTAAATCGAAAACAAAGGGAAATGAAAAATTTATCGACCAAAACATAGCCAAACCACTACATGTCTACGTTGCTCTTTAAAACAAAAGCACATGGCGGACTACCCCACATCGGAGGCCTTGGGCATGAAATTGAGGCACAGATCCAACTTTGCTTCATGTACCACTCACGTTTTATACCGACCTTTTCCGCTTTTTGGTAGTTACTAGTGGACAAATTTTCCGTAGCAAAATTGTTTAATTTATCAGAAAAGCAATAAGGCGCACAGAAGTTGCTAAATTTCAAGGCATTTTCATGACCTACTACAGAAATCAAGTACTTTTCAAGGACTTAACCAAATTCAAGGACTTTTCAAGGCGACCGTTAAAATTCAAGACCTTTTCAAGATTGTACGAACCATGACAGCCATTCCAAAAAAATACATACATTTTCAAAATAATAAAATAGCTGGAAATTCATAACGCAAAACAAATTGATTCATGAATCACCTTTAATTCGGTTCTTAATTTGCTGGACTCCTCCAGCCGCTGGAGACAGCATCCAAGACAAGTCACAAATTTGATGTTAACGTGTTTAATAATCGCAAGATTCACAAGGTCTTCGCACAATCACGGTCAATCTAACTCTCTTGTTCAGTAGATTCAAATTAACAACTTAAAAGGGTGGGCAGGCTCTTAATAATAAGCACGTGCTTCCATTGTCACAGGTTACATAATTACATAGTATGTGCCCCAGTCCCCGACATTAATTCACTGGCCACGTTCAAATAAAAAAATTCACTCACATGGACATGTAAAAAGTATGGGGGACCCTCATTACTAAAAATGTGCTTCACGTTTCATTACCAATTATGGTTACTCATGAAAAGGATGTGTTAGAAATGTCATCTAATGAAAATATTGCATGAACCAATAATCTTCAATATGTAAGAAAATACAAGCAAAACAAAAAGATGGAGTTAGGCTCAGGTACCCCTTAATAATGGATGCTTGTAAACGGTAAAACAGGAAAATCCCACTCCATTCTAGATAAATCCTGTAAAAGTTATGATTGTGATTTATAAAGTTGTCTTTTTTCAAAAATCACAGAAATAAGAACCTATCTTAACTTGCAGTCAACGTGAGCCAATGTGAACCATAAATGTTTCTTATCCTGAAATGCCAAAAAATTCCCAATCCATCAGAAATACCATTTTCACCTGTGTTTATTATACACACTTTATTTCTATAAAAATAACCATCAAAATTGCGGTGCATATTATACACGGATTCATTGTTTGTCAGACACGTCCTAATTTGCATACATTAAAAACACAACAAAGAAAGTAACACATTTATAGCTTTAATTAAATAGCTTATTATCAATGAAAAATTATGGGTACATATTCATTTTTTACTCTAAAATCAAGAGGAAAGACAAAAATCACTAAATATTTTCACAAGTGTGCAAACAGGCACATGGATCAGATTTCAGAGTGAATATGCAAAGTTGACCTTGTGTGAAGGGATCTCGTGTTACATGGAATTTTTCAGTGAGAAGCAAGCCTAAGATAAAAGTGAGCAAGAATTATTTCAGGACATTTTATACACTTATTTAAAGCAGTTCTTGATTTGCTGTTGAAGAGAAAAATGTGCAAATTTCTTATGTGTACAAAGACCACGCATTTGAATTCATCCTAGGCACATTGTTGTTTACTTCACTTTACAGCCAGAATATTGCATGGTGTTAGGTTGAAAATTCCTAAAATATGACGATTTGACACAAAATCTTCAATACTTTTCGGACATAATGTTGCTCACATATAATATTTACCAGGCCATGGAATCTTCAAATTAGTTAGGCCTCACTTGAAGTTCTTAAGTTTGGTTTCAATAATGTCATATTAAATAACTAAGTAGCAAAAGATATTAGTGTCAGCAATATAGTAAATTTCTTATTATTGTTGTCTTAATAAATAATTGTACAAATATTTAACTTGTCTTTTTTGCTGTAAAAAAATTTTTTTCCAATAAATTTGGTTAAAACCAAGGGTCCAAATTATACACGGGTGCATATTATACACGGGTAAATATGGTAGTCTCTTTTGCAGTCTTTCTCTAACATGCGTTGTTAAGCCTTACATTTCAAAGTGAATAGTTATTGAACTAAATAATAATTGGCCATGAACGATATCATCATTCACAGTGGATAAGTATCAATATAGTAATAATCTGTTTCATATGATGTCAATTAAACCGCCTCCTGGTTAGCTCAATGGATAGAGCACTGTTCTTCCTATAAACAACACTACATGGTGTCAGTGATTTGGGATTCTTCCTACAGAATCGTCGCTGAAATACTTGAGTGCATTTTCAAGCCAAATCCAATGAATCTAGCTCCAGATGGCCGAACTAGGCTCGTCGAGCGTAGCGTCAACAAGCACGCAGCCAGCAACTCCTCAATTTATCCAGTCTTCTATTCCTTTACCCTCGAAACTAGACTTCAAGGGGAACTTAGCTGTGAATTGGAAGACATTTAAGCGGCTTTGGACAAATTACGAGATCGCCTCACGGCTTAGTGCGCAAAGTAGTAATCTTCGAACAGCCACATTGTTGACATGTATTGGCCCAGATATCCTGGAGATTTACGATGGTTTGCCCTTCGGAAATGAAGAGGAGAAAACCGACATTGACAAAGTGATAGAGCTTCTAGACGCCCTTTTTATCGGTGAGACAAATGAAATATACGAAGCCTATTTGTTTAATCAGAGAGTACAGGAGGTCGGTGTGTCATTTGACGTTTTCCGTACAGCTTTACATTCGTTAGCTAAAACATGCAATTTTGGTATCATGCAAGAGCGAATGATTAGAGACAGAGTTGTGGTAGGAATTAGAGATAACGCCACTCGAAAAAAGCTGCTAGCTGAGAACAAACTAACTCTTAACAAGTGTATTGATATTTGCCGAGCGAAAGAAACCACATCCAAACAACTGAAGGAGATGTCCCATGCGGAGGAGGTTAGCGCCGTTGCCACAGGCCACCCAAAATNAATCGGTGCAGCAGTTTGGCCTCATCATGATTAACACCGATAACATCATGTCTCTCTCGAATGAGATTCCCACACAGCCGGATCTTGTGAGCAAATTCGGAGTTGTCTTCTCAGGAGAAGGAAAGCTCAAAGGAAAGCTTCACCTCGACATTGATAAGTCTGCAACCCCTGTGGCACTGCCAGTGAGGAAAAACCTTTTTCAATAAAAGAGCCTTTAAAACAGGAACTAGAACACTTAGTTAAGATAGGCATCCTGCAACCAGTAGCTGTTCCAACAGATTGGATTACCTTAATGATAGTCAGTAAGAAGAGCAATGGAAAGATAAGGCTCTGTATCGACCCAAAACCTCTGAATAAAGCACTCAGGAGAAATCATTTTCCCCTTCCAGTGATCGATGATCTACTGCCGCTGCTTACAAATGCTAAAGTCTTTAGTGTCGTAGACGCAAAGAACAGATTTTGGCATGTGCAGCTAGACGATGAAAGCAGTCTTCTGACCACATTTGGTACCCCCTGGGGTAGGTTCCACTGGACCTGGATGCCCTTTGGCATATCACCCGCTCCGGAAGAGTTTCAGAGGAGATTGGAATACGCCCTGGAAGGTCTTGATGGAATTAAGCCAATATTTGATGATATCCTTGTTTTTGGTGTCGGAGAAACAGAAGCTGAAGCACTTTCTGACCATGACGCAAAGCTGACAGCATTGTTAGAACGCTGCCGCGCTACTGGCATTAAGTTGAACAAGGAGAAGCTTAAGCTCCCTCGCAAAGAAGTGAAGTTTATGGGACATGTTATATGTCAAGATGGTCTTAAGCCTGACCCAGACAAGGTACAAGGTATCAAAGAGATGCCAACCCCGACCAGCAAATAAGATCTCAAGAGACTTCTC